AGTGCAGTGACCACGCTGCCGCACGCGCCCGAGCAGCAGCAGCTTCCTGCGCCTGCTGAAGGCAGCCCCGAGGGCGAGCATTGTGCCCGGCGGAACACAAGGTGGGCTGGTTCGGGTCGGCTTGGAAAGCTGGGAGAGCTCCTCTTTGAAAACACCGAGCGCCTTTTGCTAGCAGCGGGAGCACGGGAAGGTTCTGCGAGCCAGGATCTTACCAGACAGCTCAAACTGGAAGACACCCTGCGTACTCCTCACGTGCTCCACACTCACTGCCCCCTGGATAACTCGGAACGTCTCTGCAACGGGACTCGGCGGCTTGGTGGGAGCAGGTTCCATGTCAGCCTGAGCTCCACCGGGTCCTTCACCCTGGGATCCGCCTGATCTCTTCTCCTCTTGGGAAGCACCTGCAGGAGAGAGACTGATTTTCTCTTTCGGATGCAGAGCACTTGAAAACCACATACACATCAGAAACATGCGTCAAGAACTCCGTTTGAACAGATCCCAGCTCCACAGCAGGGAGAATGAGCGCTCTCCCATTTCCGGATCGATACCCAGAAGGGATGTGCCCAGCGCCCGCGAATCTGAACAGGGGTAGAGCACTAAAGGAAATTCTGCAACACGTTTCACTTTCTCAGACATCAGAAGAAACGTGAAAACAGAACCACAGCAAAATTCTGACTGTTCACCGTTCACTACAAATGCTCACACAGCGCACGGTTTTCTAACGCAACCCACACGCTCCCAAAAGGCAAATCAGCGTCTTTAATGAACACCACCTGCACCTCAAGGTACTGCTGTCTTCTTCATCTTGCTCAGAACAGGGACATTTTCAGGAACTCTCCTGAAAGGGCTTCTAAGCTGTAAATCAATGCACGGCTTTAATCTGCCTTTTGCTCCACTGCCGGGAACACGGCCATTTACCAGCAAAGGGCAGCACTGGCAACTCACAGGGCTGGCCAAGATGAACTGCCTCTGAAAGCGTTGTCGAAAGTCTCTCAGGTGTCCTAAACAGTTTGCACTACTCTGTGAGTCCCTGCTTAGTAACCTGCGCCGCGAGGCCCAGGGAACACCACCTCCCACCCCGGCACAACAGTCCCAGTGCCATCGCCCAAATGGCATTTCCAAGGGAAAGGGACTGCGCAAACTTTCCCTCCTCCGCCCTGCTCTTCCCCCTGTTCTGGCACTCCTGTGAAACCTGTTCAGCATTCTCAGCTGCCCTCCTACCTGACACACGGTAATTCTGCAACAGCAACACCGACGCTTTTCTGGGAAACGATTTCTGCGTTTCATCTGAGATTGTAAGTCATGCAAGTCTCATCTAGGAAGCCACAGAGACTGGGTTTTGGCTAAATTTATCAGGCGAGATCACATGACATCCCTGCGGTATGTGCTGTTTGGCATTGAATTTCTTTTTCCAGCAATGTTTACCTGTGAACTTCCGTAACTGATGCTTTTCTAAAAAAGACTTCTCCATTTCATCTAAGAGATATTTACATTGTGTAAATTGTACAGGTTTTATCTAAGAAGCAATGAAAGCCCCACGTTGTGTTCTTTTGTACAAATTTAGCAAAGCAAATGAGAGATTCCTGCAAAGTGTGCTGTTTGCTACTTCTTTTTCCAGCAATATTTACCTGTGGCTTTCATGCTACCACAATTCAGATGGTTAAAAAAGGATTCCTCAAAATAAGACACTGATTCTATGCCACAGAAGTCTGCAGGAGCTAACATTCTTGCCCTAGCTTCAAGTACAGAGTCATTTCCAAAAAGCATACTCTTCAAATGAGAAAAGGGTTTTTGCCACGTAACTTCACTGGAGTCCAAGCTCTTGGGAGAAAATAAAAACCAACTTCAGATAGAGAGGGCATTCATTATTGTCAGAAATTATCAACTTCCACACACAGTGCTTTCCCTATTTTCTTGTTTCCTGTCTGTCATGTCAGTTTCAACATCCAAGAAGAAGTCAGGCATCAGGGGGTGACCTGAAAGGGAGGAAAAATGTTATAGTAAGTCCAAGTAAGGTTGGACAGCACAAACAGGAATCTGTTTTGTATGAAGCTACAGCCAGGTTTGTAAGTAAGTAAACTACAATTTGAAGGAAAGACACAGCGTGAAATTCATATTTAGAGTTTGGTTCATTTAAATTCTGACACAGAAGCCTCTTAAAATTACAATGAAAAACATTTGAAGAAGAAAAAAAAAAAACTACCTCACTAGCTGGTAAATAGTAATATATACATTACAGTGCAAGTATATTTTCTTTTCATTAAAGTATTTTTTTAATTTGATAGGCACTTGCTGATTAGCATCTCAGTGGACTCATATGTGCTTCCCAGGAAGGCATCTTCTGAAAGCTGAGGCAAAGCAACTTTTTACAAGCCAATTTAAGAACCCCCAGAAATGAAACTATATTAATATTCTCCATACGGCCTTCCATCCTGACTGTGATTTACCTGGTGCAATTGCATAGACATCAAAATCTTTAACTCCTTCTTCTTTCAGCAGAACTTCATCAATAATGAAGTTCCCAGTGAAACTTTTTGGTTTTGTTAAAATGCAGTATGCAGCGTCTGCAAGGATGTCCGTCTTCCTGCACTGTTTTTCTATTCCAGATCCTCCCAGCATATCCATAGCAGCTGTATGTATGGCTAGAAAGCGTGGAGGGTAAGAAAACAAAGCTTTAACACTGACAACATGAAATTCCCATTTCTCTGGCAAGTACACAAACTTTGTTTTCCTTTCATGCAAAAGGAAACTGTAGGAAGACAAAGCTATGAAATACTACCAATCAACAAATAATTCTCTACAACCACCAGTAAAAACCAGAAAACTACTAAAGGAACCAAACAGTGGAATAATGGGCAGGACTTTTCACGACATTCACAGCCCTCTATCCCTTTATCAGTACCCTCCCCCATGGATTTCCTCCAGGTTATTCAGGACATGACACACTAACAGGACAACTATTTTTCTCAAAGTGAATGCACGATACATCAGTATTTCCTTTGGTGATTATCACACTGAAAATCTTGATGCTTAATTTTAGCCTTGTAGTAACTCCCATGAGATACCAATCCGTCCCTCCTAAATTAATGAACTCAAATAACGTGTTCATATTCCACAGAAAGGCTGTGTTACACCCAAGAATAAAACACAGGTCTCCTAAGCTTCTGTTTGTTTTATTAACCAATTCTAGTAACTTCTGCACCATGCCACTAGTCTTCTTTACGCTTCCCCCAAGGGAGCGACTAACACTGTGGCATGTTCAAGTCTAAGTCTGTAATTTGCTTTTCCAGGCTAAGATATCCACTTAATTTTTCTTTCATCCTGTCCCACAGACAGGCTGTTTTGTTGTAGGTTTTGGCATTTGCCTTGTTATTATTTTCTCCTCATACAATTCTACTTCATTACTTTTTCCCATCTGCTGTTTAAGACTCAGTACTCTGCCCCTCAGTTTTGGGATACACTTGCAAATCCTCTCCTACACTGGGGGCTGTCTGGTCCTGGAGGGAGAAGGATAAACCTGACTTCAAATCACTTTTGTCCTCCTTTCAGTGTTTCCACTCCACATACAGTAACAGCAGCTTCGATGCAGAACTGATCCCAACATCCCTCAAAGAGCAAATAATAGTGACTGTGCAGGACACCCCTGTCTGAGCTGGACCATTCACCTTCCAAAGTAGGAACTGGCAAAAAGCATGGCGGCCTTCAATGCTGACCAGGGAGACCCTGTCAAAGTGTCTTCTAGCAAAGCGCAAGAGTGGGTAGATGTCCTTGTTACCTCCCTTATTTTACTCTTCTGTGGTGAGGATTAGCCCCCAGGTTTTGTTTTCCTTTGACCAATCTTAGCTTCTTTTTTTCAAATCAACTGAATTGCTATAAACACGCACCTAAATAAAAAGTGGTGAATCGATATACTGTACATACAGCTAGGCCTCCCACGTCTTTTTCTCATTTTTAAGGATAGTAAATAAATTTGCCTTTCTTTGGTCCTCTGAAATGTGATTTGTCCTGCAAGATTTTTTATTTTTTTTTAAATAACTACCAACAGTTCAGAGAATACTTCTGTCAAATACTCTGATGAAATTTACCAGGTTCTGTTGGCCTGAGTACATTCCACTATTCTGAGGGTTCATTAACCTGTTCACTTTTCCTGGCCCACGTTTCTGCCACTTCTCTGTTAGTGTCAGCTATTCTTCTTCTGTGGACAGTAAGCCTACATGCACAGATTGCAGCAAAAAGGTTTTAAACAGGGACTGCCTCCTAGTCCGGCTGCATATTGTTCCGCCTATTTCATATAAAGTGCTCTGTTTTTTCTCTAATGCACACAAAGTCTTCCACTGCCGTCCCAGGATACCTCCACTATTCATACTCACTCTTAGTGATGGGATTGCCCCTTGCCCTTTTGGCAGGCTTCCTCTCTCACTTTTAGACAAATGGAGAGCTCCTGGCACCTTATTACCTTCATACTTTCACTGTTTCAGGAGATGTATTAATGAACAGATACTGCCATTCATACTAGCGCTGAAGCTAATCATATTTGTATGAGATAACAGTGGATTTTTAAATAAAGAACTTTGCAGCTGTATTTTAGATACTGTGGAAGTCTGTAACTCTGTCTTTCTGGTGACCACAAGAAAGCAGTTAACTTCTGTACTTTTGGCAGATAAACCTTTCGAAATAACATTTTTTCTACTGGAGAATTTGCACATTATTATCCTCCTTTATACTTGAGGGCACATCAGTTTTTATGGAGGCATCACCGATTTATACAAACTCAGAGAGCTTATCTAATGTTTCAGTCTTAAACCGAATGATCAAGAGTGGATTCAGCAAATACAAAGCTGTCTGCACACCTTTGACTTTATTCAAAGCTTAATTACTTTTTAATTACTTTGCAGCATCCCACAGAAAGAAATCTTTATTAAAAAAGCATTAATTAGAATAAGCTGTTGTCATGTGTAAACTGAATCTTCCTGCAGTTCTACTCCTCATGTTCTGCAGGTTCCTGAGGGGAACAGGTATTAGGTGCCATCTGTAATAAGTGCCAGCTTCTGCAGTGTTATCCTCTGACTCATTTTAGTGGGTACAAATATGTTACCAAGGTCCCAGTGGCACTCTAAAGCACCAGAGAAAGGTGCTACTTTCTTTGGCTGGGGTTTCCCCTCCAGTAAGAACGTCAGATTTTATAGAAGTTTAATCAATACCATCATACACATCCTTCAATACCAGACCCTATCTCGGACACTGGTACTACACTGACATTTGGAATGCTACAGTATATGCAAACACTGGACAGAAATAATGTATTAATCTATGCAACATAAGACTTCATATCACTTCTGCCTATGAAGTTAGCCAACCCTCTGAAAAACTTGTGAGTGGGCAGACAAATTCTCCCAGGTTGTTTTCCCTTGCCACAAAAAACAGGAGGCCAAATTACTCAGATGTGTAGGGGAAAAACCTACATCACAAAATAAAGACCTAGCGTAACCAGCTGGTCTCTGCAGGAAGAATTCTTTAGATTTCAACAGTATGCTGGGACCCATAAAACCACTGACTCATTTCCACAACAGTAGTGGATATTTTCTCCAGTGTATCCACAATCCTAGAGAGAAGGTGTTGAAGAATCAGAAGGCTGTGGAGGATGCATGTAATGTTCCTATCAGCATGTAAATATGTGCATTTACAAGACACAGGTAATCCTGTAACACCTTTTGCGTGAGAAAACAAGTCAAATTAGTGATGTTGTCTGCAGCTTGATACCATGTCTTTCTGTCTGAATGAGATACTCTGGATTAATTCCTTTATTGTCCCCAACTCTCAGACACAATTTACATTGCTTAATCACTCAGTAACCAAAAAACACAAAATGCTAAGACAAAACATCACCTCTGCTAACAGAAAACCAAATAGCTCCTACATACAGGATTCTGAGGAGATATAAAACATATTTAGCAGTGGCATTTTAGGGACAAGCCAGGAGGGATGGGCATGAGGTCCGGGGAGCTAAAGGCTTTAAGTACCAAGTTTCATGGCTCTATTCCAAAAGACAAAGATAGATTCTGGGAAATCTCCATTGAAACTTTTCTGAGGTTTCCCTGGAGCACTCAAGAAGCAAGTATGTGGAAACAAGTACATGTTTCTTCTACCTCTCTCGGAAAAAAAAATTTAAAATATATGAGACCCCCAAAAACTGAAAGGTGCGCTTTCACTTCACTGCCAGGAAGGCAATCCAAACCCTGAAGTTACACGTGCAGTTGCCTTCAGTACACCAAAGATGAAGAGCTTATCTTCTTCAAAATAGACAGTACAGGTTTTGTGATGATATAATTATAATGAAAGATATAATTACCATCCAAAAACTCAATCCTTTACCGAAATATTTCTATGGGTAAAACTCATAGTGTGGGCAGACTTATAAAGCATCCATTTACTGGGAGAATTTAGGATGCAAGCATGCAGACCAACAAAAAAGGACCCGGTCTGTCAGACGCACTAACCCTAGTGTTCAACTGAGTATCACCTAGGGTATTTAAGCAAGGACACTCAGCCGATTTTGTCTGAAATAAGTAAGTTTTGCTCATATTCCTCAATTTCGAGAAAGGAAATCAGAAAGCTTCCACACTAGAAGTTAAAAGATGCATACAACTCCTAACAGGAAAACACTGAAAAGCGTCTGGGTACGAACACATCTTCCACGACAGCACTAACTCCAGAACAGGACTGTGATTCATATTTTTATTTCCTCTTCCTTCCTTCCTTCCTTCCTTCCTCGCTCCCTCCACTAGTTAAGAGAATAAACTCTGCTGCTGTAATGTTTCATAACACAATAACTGGGCCCACACCATTAAAGGGCAGAATTACCCTCCGCCTTCACTGATTTTAACATCAGCATCATTTCTGCACACAGATGTATTTGGGGTGAAGAGACTGGCCTCTTTGGCAAACAGCTGACCCAACCTCAAAGAGCAGCCCAGCTCCCCACTGACCGACAGACAATAAATTGAAGTTAATGCAATGATGGAGCATTGAGGTGTTTTTCTTCCCTAGAGCTCTTTAGTTTAATGTGACCTGCAAGCAGACGGTTCTGCGAACAACTGTTTGCTGGCCCACTGCACCAAAACTTCTAGAACAGGGTTGTTTTTTTTAATTATTTCTGTATTTGTATCTGTATTTATCTGTCAGTTCCATCTACGCCCTGGTAATTTAACTAGCAAAGTATTCTGCAGAGTAGTACATACACAGACATTTAATACTCACTAATGAAAGCATGCTAACACTTTTGTGACTCTGTCCAAATCAAAACTCTGGGTGCATGAGAACAAGCACAGACAAGCCAGATACTACACAGATGCTTCAGCCAGGCAGAAGGATTGAATGGGTTGCAAACTGGCTGAAGATGAGTTTGGATCAAAGTGGCAACAGTCTAGTGAGAACTAGGAATGAAAACCAGCACGTACGCAGGGTGAACAAAGAATATGCAAAAGAACTGCTCAGTCTCCTGAATCAATTCCAGAAGAAGTCTGAAGTATAACCAAAGTCTAATAAACAAGCTGTAGAAGACAAAATACAGAAAAAAAAAAAATCACCTGTTTTAGGCCATAAAGCATTGACAGCAACTTCTCCTCTAAATTCTTCTGCCATTCCCAATACACACATGGACATCCCATATTTACTAATGGTATAAGCTAAGACAAGAGGTATAAAAAAGATTAAAATTTACACTCTATCAACAGAACTTTAATTATGACAGAAAGAAAAACCACATTATTTGCTCATAAGGAAACAAGTTTTTGCAGATAAAACAGTATCTTTCTAGAGTTGAAATCTTCCCCTTCTCCCCACCACCCCCAGCAGATCCAAAGTGTCTGCCATCTTTTCATTACAAATAAAATGACAGCTACATGTTTTGACAAAAAAAACTAACTGAAGACTAGCTGCATGGTGATATTGTTGTACTTTTTATACAAAGCACACTGACAAGAGTGGTCAATTTTTTCAAGAGGCCTAAGGCATACTAGCTGCTAACAACCAAGCTCGTATTCAACAGAAAACAGGCGGAAAAAAAAGAAAAAGGGTATTCTAAATCCTTGTCATCTATCTATTTTGAGAAGGGAAACTTTAGGGGGGAAAGAACTGGGACTTGCTGGAGGAGTTTAACTTGACAAGTGTCCAATATCAAAAGGGTTTTTCAGAGTTTTAAAACGAGCAACATTAACCTCAAGACAAAACTGAGTCCCCACCTCAAAATTAATTTCCATTTTAAAAGACATCATTGAACTTTACCTCTAGTAAATAAAATATGAAGCTGAATCGGTAAGAAAATAGATTTCGGGTTTCAATCTCTATTTGGAACAAAAGAAATTTTGCAGTCTTAAGAACTCCCATGAAAAAGCACAGACTCTTACCTTGAAACCATTCTTGAAACTGTAAAGGACATTATTAGGCCACTAAACCTGCACTATGTTTTCCCACAAAACCATTTCTTTCGGGTTAGGTACAAAACACCCTGGGGAACCGTTAGTGCCAGTCTGTATATAGTGCTGAACATACAAGACCTAGCATTCTGGGCTGGCACTCCTGCACATTTCACCAGGTATTTACGTGGTTTGCAAAAAATAACAACAAAGGCACTGAATGCTACTTACCACAATGATTTTTGAACCACATGGGATTCAGATTCATAGGTGGGCTGAGGTTCAGGATATGGGGGTTCCTACTCTTCCTCAAGTAGGGAAGGCATGTTTTAGACCTGAAAGAAAGATTCAGACACGCCAGTCACCTCTTATTTTATGGAACACCTATAATTACAGAAAAATCATACTAGCAGACTAGTATTTTCATTTTCATGAAAGTCCAACACTAAGCTGCAACTCTGCCCTTGTATCAATTATTCAACTTTACTATAAAGAATAATCTTCTTGTAATAGTTATGATGGGGGCAACAAAACACTGCGAGGCAACAAGTGAAATTAACAGTGCAGAGCCTAATTCTGTCATAAATACATTCTCTTCTGATCAAATACCTATTTCTTCTTTAAAAACACATTAAAGAAATAATACTGTATAGCAAAAGGCTATTGCAAATATTCCAAGCAAAACTGAAAACCTATTCTCTGCTGACTGAAAGAATTACTATTTCATTCAACTTAGAATTTACACCTTTTTGTAAATTGTAACTTTTACTTTATAGAAACCATCACTTCACTTCTAGCACTAGGGTACATGTTTGCATTTGATCTCTGCTGGAGAATTTTTAATCAAGCTTCACAGGGAGAACAGCACCACAGTGGACTACGCTACTGACCTACTATTCACACATTTCAACAGGACCTGCACATACTTGTTGGCCACGGAAGGGACACCTTCAACTGCTAAATCAAAGTAGTGAAGTAAATCATTTACCACCTGCTTAAATGTCCTGGGGTCTCAACTCTCTTCAGTGGCAGTGTGTCAGGCTCTCTAACAGACGTCTCAATTTCTTAATGCACAGGAACCAAGACTATGTCAACAGGTATACTCTGTAAGATGGGACATCCTCCCTACCTTCTCCAAACAGACAAAAAACCCACACTTTTTTTTTGTTTTTTTTTAGCTATTATAACTTTCTCAACATTAAATTGAAAGCAGATCTTTAAAAACGATGAACAGAAGCAACATACAAAGCAAGGGGAAGAAAAGGTTGAAATGCTTCACTAGGTCTTCCCAGCTGACAGTTGTAAAAGTAATGACAAAGATCATTTGTAATTTTCCTTGAGAGGCATTAATCTTTCATACATTCTTCCATTCACAGCAACACAGAACCCACTTTTTAATCTTTTGAAGGCAGAGTAGCAGCCAAAGGAAAGGTGACTTTTAAGAATTCTCCATTAATTTGGAATAGCTAGAAGTATTGTTGCTGTTGGGAGGTGAGGGGGAAACGGAGCTTGCCACTGGCAATACAGTGGAATACATTCAGAGATTTAGCAAAAGATATCCACAGAGCGTTTTTGGGAATGCCAAGCTCCAAAACCAACTTTCCTTTCCGACGCAGAACCGCTTACACTTACAGCCTTTCAAAAGCAGACATCGCAGAGTGGAAGCACAGAAACCTCACTTTGCAAGCAGAGTCTTTCGCTCTTCCACCCTCCTTCTTCCTCCATCCAATCTATGTGCTATACACGTCTCCCTAATGCAGAAAGCTGCTATTCATGTGTGTTCTTACACTAATGGAAAATCCCTTCAGTGATTCTTAGCAAAAGAACACTAAGGAACATAATCATAGTATCTGATAACCAGATTCATCTGCACAAAGGAGAATGACAGACACTATGCTAGGTAAAACTTCGATACAAAAGCTCCTGATCGCATCAAGTAACAACCAAATTTAGAGAATCTGCATCATCCTAAGGGCTTTTTTTTTTAATACAACTCCATCAAAATCAAAGTTTTCATTTTAAAATGGAGCAACTTCAAATGATGTCCTGTAAATCTAAAGATGATCCCACCTACTGAATCCATTTCAAAAAAATGAGCAAAATAAGGACCACACGAACTGTGAAATCAAATCTTGGTATGGAAATTTAAACAAATGATAGAATTGATGAGCTGAAAGTAGGTGGAGAACACTTTAGAGCGTTTACATCTTTAACATTTCTCTTTTATCTATGGTAAGTTATCTAACATCTCTTAAGATGAGAAAGACGGTTATGAGAAGGAAGCTCACAAACAAGGTGTTGCACTTGATGTAGGCAAAGAGTTAGTCATTTTGGTTGAAATGAAAGAGCAGACAGAATTTAGCAAAACCAAGCTGAAGCTTCGTTTGAAATAAGCTAGTTTCTGCTTCCTACCTGCACAGAGGGGCTTGTGAACGCCTAGTGACTAGAGTAAATAAGGTTCTTATTTACTCCAACTTGCAATTAACTCTTGCAAATATTAATTTCAAATCATTTGGCCAACAACCGAGCAATTTCCTGTGAGCACATGTACAATACTTGCACTCCAACTCTAGGGCAGCAAGACACAATTTCTCAGACAAACTGAGATAATATCACACATTTTGTTACAATTACTTTGCTTCCCTCTCTCAGCACTTACGTAAGGTAGGTTCCTCGTACATTGACATCCATCATCAGATTGACCTTCTTCGTTTCCGTTTCCAAAGTGCCAGTCAAAGAGATGGCGCTTGCATTGTTCACCAAAATATCAATCCCTGGTTTTAAAATAAGCCATTTCACATTAGCATATAAGACAAAAAGTACGAGTAAGGCAGGAGGTTCTTTTCTCTTTTTGTTTGAACAATCTGCCTGTTAAGGTCTCCCCCACACCTTAGCATACCTCCAAAAGTCTTCACAGCTTTCTCCACAGCATTAATAATTTGCTGTTCTTCCCTCACATTAACGATGCATGGCAAGGCCTTTCCTCCAGCTGCTTCAACTGCACAATTAAAAAATCAAACATCTAAAAATGTGCTGTCAGACCAAACAAATAGGATGAACCTGAGAACCTCCCATTGGGTGACACGCTTCAAGAAGGCACTGAAAAATTGCTCTCAAACTGCAACCTTTTTACACATTGCATAAAGAACAGGGAAGCCAAACCCAAATCTTAACACTGAGAATGTGTATGGTACACACATCTGAGTTAACATAGCATTTTCACATTTATACACACACATTACAGCAACATTTTTGGTACCTGCCAGCACTCCTGGGAAGCAAGAGAATCACTGAGCTTCTTTTATTAAAGGTGAATCGGAGCTAAGAGAGACGTGACAATTCAGCTAGGGCATACACCCAGCCCAGCACCTGAAACCCACCCTCACTTCTCAGAACTTACTCTCTGCTGCAGCAGTGTAGATAGTCCCTGGAAGAGTAGGATGAGGCTCGGCTGTCTTAGCAGCTATCACAATGTTTGCACCATCCTTGGCAGCTTTCAAAGCAATGGCTTTGCCAATGCCTCGGCTTGCGCCCGTGATGAAGAGAGTGCATCCTGCTAGTTTCCTAAAGTTGAAGGGGCAAGTGGAGGATAAAGAAGAGGGACAATAAAGCAAAACCTGTAAATCATTGACTTTTGACACTCTTTGAGAGCAAAAGTAATTAGTGCAGTCTCACAACCAGACAAATGCCTTCATCATTTTACTGAGAAAGCAGCCCCTAAATGCAAAAGGAACAGCTACCGCTACAGCAAAGTACAGTACCACTGAAGGTAAGACAACTCTCCAAGTCTGCAAACACTATAAAGCAAGAAGGTTATACAGGCCACCCAACTACATTTCTCCCCTTTTGCAAAATGATCCAACACACATTTATAACAGAGCTGCCACGTTCTCCAACAATGCAAAAAGAGTAAGTTGGAGAAACAAAATCTGAGTTTCTGATGAGACAACACACCTACACAGCTCTCTGTAATTTACTAGTCACAGCCCCCTAAACCCAAGAAACTGCAGTGTCAATGTAGTATAAAGTTCAGAACCACAATGCTAATGCAGGGTGTTACACACAAGTGCAAAACTTGATTTTCAGAAATGACAATTATTTCTTTTAAAGGTTTTACACTGAACTCAACAGTTTCTCGTTTACTACATTTAATCTAATGGGTCCCCCCAAAAAATGGGTCCAATGAAAATCTTTAGAGAAACTATCAAGTTTCAGAGTGTGAGAAGGATGTCTGGCTTACATAAACAATGTCACTGAATTTTTGAAAAGCAAAATATCAACTCCAGTTCAAAGCACTCTCGACAATGAAGCCTCTTAGACCACAGTTTTCCATATGAAGGAACATGCATCTCAGTGTTCTGCATAAAGCTTATGTTGTGTTCCATAACTTAGTGGAAAAAACCAAGAGGTGCAAGTTTTCAACCCCACTGCATATGAACTACATGCTACAGCAACTTCACTTTTCACTCACGTCACCAACATTATACACCAGACTTCAAGCTTGCACTAGTTTTCCTGTCAGTCTGAGCCAGACTTGACTTACTACTGTTTCTCCAGGTGTCCTTTTCTTGCCTCCAATCTGAGAGCATCCCTCTCCAAAACACTCTCTAGTAGGGCAAGAACTTTTAGAAGGCAGAAAATGGGGATGGAGCAGCGAGGGGCAGGGATCTTCCCCTGCAGTGGCACAGTTAGACATCTGCGGGGTCCCAGGAAGTCAATGAAGCCCTGCAGATGCCATTTCAAACAACCTTCCTCTGCAAAATTGGGTCCCAGAGAGGTACAGTAAGAAAAATTTTAAAACAGCACTGCGAATCACAAAACACTGCTGCCGAGAGTCAAGTCACATGCACAGAGCAGAAAGTTCATCTCTACAATATGCAGTGAGGCTGTAAAACTCAGTCAAATAAGGCCAGAATCTGTCTTCAACCAACCCGCCTGAGGTCAGCAGAATTCACCTTAGTCAGGGAAGAGGTAAACGGGGTCTACGAAGAGGCAGCTCTGGAGCAGAAAGCAGCTGAGGAAAGCTGGCAGGGCTTCAAGCCCCTCCAGGGGCAAGAGTGATCCATTCAGGCAGACCAGCAGATGTACCAGGAGAGTGGCATGGCTACACAGGGAACTCGTGACTCAGCACCCATGTAAACAGGTCACACAGGGAGCAGGAGCAAGGACAGGCCACGAAGGACAAATGAGAAATATCACCTGGGCATGTGGGGTGGTGTCTGGAAAATCAAAGTTCACCTGCAGCTGAGGCGTGTGAAGGACGTCAAGGGCACAGGGGCTTCTGCTGCTATGCTGGTAGCAAAAGCAGGCCCTCTGCTCAATGGGGTGGGTGAAAGCAAGGCTGCCAGCAACATCTCTCACAATACTGTTGCATCCAGTTTAAGGTATTCTGGTCTGGACAGCTGTACAACCCGACAGGCAAAAAACCGATCGGCTGGTCACGTTCAGAGGGTGATGGTTAGTAAGCCATACTCTGCCCAGAGACCGGTAACAAGTGGGGTACCACCTCTACTCCTGGACCAGTCCTGTTTAACATCTTGATCAACAACTGGAAGATGACAAAATGCCCTGGTGGTGGATGACGACTGGTTCACAAGCTTGAGGGCAGGGCTGCTATCCGGAGGGTCCCCGACAGGCTAGATGAACAGGAGCCTCATGAAATTCAGCAAGGACAGATGCACGGTCCTGCACCTGGGATGAAATTGAGTCCCCGCAATGACACAGGCTGGGGACTGAGCAGCCGGGGAGAGCTCTGCTGAAAAGGCCTTGGTGGACCTGGCAGAGAGCAAGGTGAACATGAGCCAGCAGCGAGCCTGGCAACAGAGGCCAGCCACATCCTGGGCTGCAAGGACAACATAACCAGAAGGTCAAGGGAAGGGATTATGACCCTCTGTTTGGCACTCACAAGATCACACTTACATCCTGTGACGAATTTTGGGTCCCTCAATACAAGGTAAGCACCGACAAATGGGAGCAAGTTCCATGAAGAGCAACAGAGAAGGCTGGAGGCTCTGCACTTGTGCGAGAGGGCCAGTTCAGCCTGGAGGACGGATATAGTGGGACCTAGTGGCAGCCCCTCAATACCTAGCAGTGACTGATGAGATGGAGCCAAGCATACATGCTGTGGTGCAGTGCAGGAGGACAAGAAGCAACAGGCCCTTTCGAAAAGAAAGAAGAAAGGTTTGAACTGGAGAGGTTAAGACTGTCCTCCCCATGATGACAGTCAGGCAACAGAGCAGGCAACGGAGCTGTTCCCAGCCTTGGAGGTGTTCAAGATTGAAACGGACAAAGCCCTGAGCAACACTGTTTGATCTCCCAACTGACCTGGCTTTCAGCAAGATGTTGGACTGGAGACATCTCAAGCTCCCATCCAACCTGAACTATCTGATGATCCAATCTGGAAGAGCCAGCCGTAGACTCAATTCCTTTTCACAAATTATTACTCTATTCAAAATGTCAGGGAACATATCCCATTCACTCCAGTTACGCTCTCGCTAGTTGACCCCTCCAGCACTCCCCTACACTGGCCAACACCCTCAAGTCTTTTTTTTTCTCAGCTCAATGGCATCTCCAGCCTGCATGAATCTCTTTTTTCTCCCTGGGCTTACAATCACCCCTGACTACATTCACTCTCTGGAGCTCCCTTCCTTCAATTCTATCCCTACTGCCCACAGAAATAGTGTTCACCAAAACAAGCAAAGCCCTACTAGCAGGAAAGACTTATTTTCACTTCATCCCCCTTGAAACACTAAGCTGACTTCATACTATCGCTCACACTCCCTTTCTTTTTTTTAAACATTCTTGCTGCTTCTTTAATGTTACTTCTAGCCGTGTCTCACTCAAGAAGTTTCATTTATCCACTGCAAGCTGGTGTGACACCTTCCACAGATGCACCAACCTCTTATAATAATTATTCCGTATCCCCAAAAGAATTGTCCAGAATTTAGAACATTTTAGTCTCCTAAGCAAGCTGAGCAGCTTGCAAGTCTTAAAATCTATTTTGTAATTCGCTTAGCAGCCCAACAGTTTGCAAGTTTTTAAAGCCTGCGCTCATGTACAACTGCTTACGACCTGTATTGTGAAGTTTGCGCCTTTACCGCTTCCTTCACCGCTGAATTCTGCTAGTCAGGCAGAAAATGCCAACTTCACCTCGGTGCCCTGCAGTCTCAGGGGTCCTGGCAAAAGTGAAGGCAGGTTCCTGCCTCGCCAGGCACGACTGCTGACAGAGATGCCTGCAGGCCACGTCAGAGACACTTTTTACAGCTCGCTTACAAGTATGTTAATAACAATCCTGTTTATAACTTCCAGTAACAAATAACACCAACTTATCTCCCTGGCTGCTAGCAGTGCCGGCTCTGACGAGAGGCAGAATTAAGTCCCTACGCTGGACGACAATCTGACTGCCAGGTAAGAAGGTACTGCCTTGGAGCAGGAGAGAAGAACAGTTGAATGTCTATGATAAAGTCAGACACACCACCCCGCTGAGCTGCAGGCCGTCCAGTAACTCCTGCCATTGCGAAACGCTGCGCTCAAG